GTATACGCACAGACAGATAGACCGGCATCTCTTTAAAAATAGTTTTTTTAGGCTTCCCCATCATGGAGAAGTGCGTGTCCACAATATACAAGATTTCTCGATATACAAGATTTGGTGCCATCCCATAGCATAAAACTAATCTTGTAAAATCAAAATAATTTTGAAATATTCTGGTTTACTTTTAGTTTGTTTTAGTTTTCATCATATTAGTTCGACAACAAAAATAGTTTAATAGTAATTTTAGGTTTTAAAATCTAAAATATCGTAAAAGTATCCGAACTAATTTTAAATAAGGCTCACTTTATTTTGATATTTTCTCATTTTTCATATCATATTTTGTGTTGTGTTGAAATTACTTTAATGTGCGATGTGTGCAATATGCATTATTTCATCTGATTATAAAATAAATTAAGAGATTATAATTATAAAATAGGAGATTCAAACTTTTAGACCACATTACTTTTAGGAACAAATTTTTGACAAAAATTTTTATAACGTATTATTGATTGACTTATTTTACAGAAAATTAGTCAAACTGTTTTATATTGCACCAACAACTTGATGTCGTCAAGTTGATTTAATATTTTCGAAGAAACTGCTTATTGTACGCTATACTCCAGTGGAAAATAATTAGATTTTACATTGAGTTTTGAGAGAACGCATTTACCGACGTTTTAATCGAAGGCAACTGCTACAATGTAATAAAGATTTAAAAAAATCAAAAAACTTGAGATCACCGTTTCCATATTATGCAAACACAAATTTTGTAACTTTCTGCGTTAATCTACTTCGAAATTACAAACTCAAAAAATTGATCATAACAAAGACCCTAGATATGCTAGATGTCTTTTAATTTATTAATGATTTTCGAAAATTACCATGAATTTGTAATTTTTGTACGCAAAGTTAGATCGTTTAGTAGGAACTTTATTATTAATAAAATTCAGGGTGATTTCCCAAACAGTTTTTTTCCGATCTTGTTAAAAAAAAATTTATATAGAAAGGTAAATATAAAGCACAATTCTTAAGCAAAGGCATTCATTAATTTTCATGGTGAAAACAATTAAATTTTTTAAAAGAAAAATTTATTTTCTTTCTTCTTTTTTCCTATAAATCAACTTCCTGTTTAATTTTGTCTCTAAAACATTTTTTTTAAATTACTTTATTAATTAGTTAGAGACAATAGAATTGAACCACTTTTGTATACAAAATTTAAAAAATAAAATCAGTACTATTTAACTACAAATTAGACTTTTGATGTTAAAAATTTAAGGAAATAGGGTAAGGACATAGGATAGGGCCGGATTTTCAGTGTCCCAATATTTGGCAGTCCAAATACTTGGTACTAGCGATATTTACTATTATCAATATTTGTTTTGCGAAAAATTAAAATTTCGTCCATTTTCAGTTTCTGAATAGGTTGTGCAACTGGATAACAAACAAAAATTATAAAAATATCGAATTTTTATTTGCGAGTACGCGTTCAATGATATTAACCATATTTTATATAATTTTAATCCAATGAATTGTTTTTACTTCACTCATTTTCAGTATCTAAAGAGGAGTCTTTTAATATGAAACAATATACTCCGGTAATGAATATTATTAATGTTCCTTTCAGAGCAATAAAAAATAACTGTCATTGTATATAATGCGCTTTTCTGTATTCGGATACTAGAAATTTCGATATTCAGGTACTAAATTTCAAAACCTCTTAAAAAAAAAAAGAATAAAAAATTCATTATTTTAGCAACACTTTCAATATTTTATCCCCGGTGGGTTGGGGAGTAGAAATACCCATAGCAGGCATACTTGTGGCGCGCACCCACTAAAATCCGGACAAAATCCAGATGCGTCTGACCCAGAATGAACGGCTTCCTGGTCTGTGTCTGATCCTAGAGAGACGACAGTAGGAAAAACCTGGCTAGGTTAATATCCATATACCTTATAACAGAATATGAAATTTTCAATATTAAGAATATAAATGCGGTAGGAATATCTACCAAAGTGTCGGCAGAGACCACGGATGTCGGCGAGGGCTGATTAATTTTGATTTAATTATATTAGATCAAAACTAAAATAAAACTATATCAGTACCTTCATACTAGCCCCTTTACCCTATTAACATTTTTACAAAAAATCTTTAAAAATCTTAAAACAAATATAAAAAAAAAATTATTTACCTTTAATAAGTTTATTAAAAAAAATTTAAATATTTTTTTTTTGTACCAAAGCTATCAAAGTCGCATAAAACACCTTTAAAACACACACTCTAGTTGATTTATAATGAAAATTTATAATTTGCATAATAACTAAATAAAAATCTTTTTAAAAGACAAAAAAATCAAATTAAATCTTAAATTTTTTAATTGTATAATTAAGTTTTAAAAATTTTAAGAAAATAACAAAAAACAAAACTTGAAACTTTAAAAAATTGAAAAAAAAAAAAATTCTCACAATAAAATTTTCTCAGAAACTTTTCTTATTCTTTTTTCTTTAATTTTAATCACTTGTACATATTTAAAATAAAATGGCAAAATTTTAATAACACTAACCAAATAGAGAAAAAAAAAGGTGCGTTTAGTTTTTTTGTTACTTCTGTAAATCCAAGGCTGCTCATTTTCGTTAAGATATTCAAACTTTTCGAATAATTTCAAACATTAAAAAAAAATTTAAATACTCCAAAAATTACGAGTCAACTTTCAAGAAATCCAAGTATAACAACAACAACCTGAAAAAACTAAAAACTTTAGACTATAACAAATTCAGGAGAACTCACAAAAAAAAACCCTCTTCAAATGATAAGATTATGCAAATTTTATCACACACTGCAACTGAAAAGGCGGCATAGGAAAGAAGGAAAAGGGAAAAGGCAAAACGGTTACAGTGAGGAAGAGAAAAAGAAGAAGTAAGAAAATATGGCAGGGGAGCAAAATTAAAAAAAAAACTGCTTATCAGATTGTCTTCCACCTGTTTTTATTTTTATGTTTCTTTTTTTTATTTTTTTTTTTATTTCAATACTCAGAAATTAAATTCATCCAAAAATATTTTATAAATAAAAATTTTGAACAATGCTACAATTTTTTTTCTCTGTTTTTTAATGCAAACAATACAATCAACCCCTCAAGTAAAATTCATATTTAGTTTTTCCTTAACAAACAAACATCATTCCATACACAATAATTCTAATACACTATTCACGACACTATACACACTACAAAATGATTATAAACAAAAAAGTACTACTATGCCAATGCAATTTTATAAATTTTATTATGCTAATATATACTTGTATTTTGTAGCCGAACATGCCACATTTTTGTTCTCATACAATCAAAAAACATAAATAAGGCAACAATTGGAAATCACAACAAACACATACATAAATAAAAATAAAAATAATAATTGTAAATACTAAATAGAAAAAATTCCGCTAAAAATTATTTTTTCTATTTCTTGTTTTAAATATAAATGTTTTATATAATATTATTATATAAAAAATATATGTATAAGATTTATGCAATAACATTTTTTAACACCGGCATTACAAATATTTTTAACATTTTCTTTTTTACTGTATACACTATATTATATAATTTGTAAATGTGTTTGTAGGTTATTTAAATAATATTTTGCATTTGATAATATTTTTTGTAAGAAAAATTATTATGCATATGTGTGTGTGTGTAGGTATGTATATAGTAAAAATACACTTAGAAATATAACAGTAAATAGAAAAATAATGCAAATACTTGAAATGTGTACAAAGTTAACAAAAAAAAAAACTGTTGTTTTATATATTAGGAATTTTTTTAAAGTATTCAAATATTTTCGCGCCAAACTTTTATTTTTTTTTTGTAGTTGTTTTTACGAGTTATCCATGTTTGCATGTACGTATAATGAGTTGTCAAATTAATTATTTTTTGTCAATTTTGATAAATTTCAGAATAATGTAAAATTTCATGGCGAAATAAGATTGAAGGCACCGCCAAATTTCCCATAAAATTTTTAATTAAAATATCAATAATTTTTTATTTTTAATTCTTTCCCCGATAAATTTTCTTTATATTTTAAGAGTATTTAAAATTTAAATTAATTACAGTCATGTTATTTCTACCTCTTAAATGTTGTATGATCTGTTACATAAGGTGATACCATTAGGAATTATTCTCATTATTAAATTCTCATTTTGTGGAATTTAAAATACTTTCATTTTTCATTTAATTTTTAATAATAAATAATTAAAAAAAAAAAAACAAAATAAAAAATTAAATAAAAATAAATAATATCAAAATAAACAAAGGTTTACTCTTCATTTCTGTTATTTTATATACTCTGTTATACTATTTTACTGTTGTTTGTCTGTTATACAATTGAAAGTTGCAGGAATTTTATTGTTTTTATTATTATTTACTTTTAAGCTTTTAGATGCCGTTTTGTTTGCTATTACATACCACTAATTTAGTTGTATGTGTATGTGATTTTTCTGTTCATAATGGAATATAAAATAAATCTCTGTTATTGATGAGTATTTTTACTGATAAGTAGTAAATACATATACATATGTAGTCACATGTATGTATTATTAAATTTAATATATGATTATATTTTGATTGTTTTAAAAGCGGTAATATTTTTATTATTAAACGCAATACAAATACAAAATTTGATATAAACTTAAAATTTTTTAATAACACTGCCTACAATTTTATTTAATATTAAATTTAAACTGAACATTTTATTATTAAATTACACGACGACATCTGTTAGTGTAGTTGTTCGTATAGAAAAAGAGCAAAAAAAAAAGAAGAAGAAGAAAAATTTAAACTTTTTTTTATATCAACTTTTTAGTTTTACTGGTTGTGACGATTTTTATTATTTTTCTTCTACTCTTTTTTATTTTTCTTGTTTGTTTTTTTTTTTTTTTTGTTGTCGTCGTATTTTTATTTATATTATGAATTAAAGGTATGAAAATTTAAAAAGAGTATAAAAGCGAGTAACTGACCATACTCAGCATCCAGTTAAAGTTTTTGAACCTGAACGATTCTTATCCTTAGGTAGTTTTTTTTTTTTAAATTTTTTTGTTTTTAATTTTATTTTTTTTATTAAATAAGGATTAAGTTAAATATAATTTTTAATTTTGAAAAAAAAAAATAAGAAAAAAATTTATGTGTATAAAATAAAACAAAAAAATCCTTAAAAGGATATTTATTTGAATTCATTGAATGGATTATAAAATTTTTAATAATATGAAAGTGAATTTAAAAAAAAAAATAAACTATAAAAATTAATTTAATTTTGTTCTCTATTTTATAGTAAATTAGTTTGTTGTTATTTATCTTTTATTTAATAAATATTTTTTTAATTTTTTCTTTCATTAAAACAGAATATAAGCGAGTGAAATTTAAATAGAAAACCAAATAGAAAAAAAAACACACATTTCAACATTTAAAATTTACATTAAATTTAATAAAAATGAAAATCTTTGTGAGTATTTTTTATAAATTTAAAATAATTTTAATCAAAATTTTTTATTTAAAAATTAAATATATTATAGTAAATATGGAAATATTATGAAATCAATTAAAGAAAATTGAAATTTTATTAATTTTTAAATGTTATTAATGATAGTGAAAATAAATATTGAAGTTAAGGATAAAAATGTTATCAAATGTTGAATATTAACTGAGGTTTCCTCATTGAGCCTTGTTGCATTTCAATTGAACTTACATAATATGGTGTTAAAAATATTATTGAAATTTTTTATAATTATTCAAAATTATCTTGAATTTTTATTATTAAACTGAATTGTTAAATATTACAAATCAAAATAAATTGCATTTGCTCAAGTACACAAAAAAACAAATTTCATTAGTTTGCCGCGAACTATGCAATTTTAAAGCATTATCGAAAAATTATAATAAACAAGAACTTTCCATTAAATTTAATAAAAATTCCTATTCCTCTTTAATTTATTTTCTAAATTTTTCTTTTCTGCATAATAATTAAATAACTCATATTAAACTTAGAATTTTATATTCAAAAGAACGCTAATCGCGGTATTTTTACTTAAAGGTCGAAACAAATTAAGCTAGGCGACAAGTTAGAACGAAAATATTTAAAAACAATTTTTCTAATTTACATAATTCTATTGCCAAATTCAAAATTATTATTTCAGAGGTAAATTACAAAAATATCATTTTTTCTCTCTTTTTACGGAAATCCATATTATATGCAACATATTATTGAATAACCCAATTAAAGTAATTAAAACAATTTATGAATTGATACAGAAAAAAAAAAACATAAAATTTCCAAAGAGAAAAAAAAAAGAAATGTTGATTTCCTTGTAGCCAAGATTATGAATATGAAAAATTTTTTATTAACAATAATTTTAAATTTTTCCTATGCAAAATATTTTTATTGACATAGCACAATTTATTTAATTAAAAAAATAAAACTAGCATTTTAATTGACATTGTCGAAAATATTTTACTCCCATCCTTAAACCACAATAATCCAATTCCTCATTAAAAAAGAGAATATCAAATTTTCATGGAAATTTTTTATTAGTTCTGAGTAATTGTATATTGAGAGTTTTAATATGCCTATAATTTACAATACAGCATAGCTTTCAATCCATTTATTGAATAAGAACAAATGCTTTTTTTAGAGAAAATTTTCATTTACAAACAGTAATTCTTAATTTAAGTAAATAAAATAATTACGAAGAGTGATTACATAATTTTATGCATGTAATTCAAGAATAAGAATTGCACGTATTAAGCATGTTTATATAAAAAAATGTGTGTACTAAGTTAACATTAGTTTGACTAAGTAAAACAAAGAGAATTTAAAACATCGGATTTGCAATTCTTTGAAATTTTTCTCTTTTACGAAAATTAGTTTAATTCTTTTAAACGAAAAGACCTTCTTTGTCTATAACATACTATAATTAATTGTTTGCACGCATCAGCAAATATTCAATCAATTCTAACATTTTTATAAGTATGTTAAACAAATTAAATGTACATTGTTACATATACAAAAATTATGTAATGCAATGTAGATTTCCTCAGCATTTCCTCATTAATGGCATTTTATAAAATCAATGGTGCACCTTATGTACTTGTATACCTTTGTTTTTAAAATTAAAGAAAAATTTTAATTATTGCAGTAGATTTATGTATATGCTTCATTAATTGCAATATTATACGGAGAATTTTTTACTAAGAATAACACTATTTGAAATACAAAGAACTTTAACAAATTCGCATTACTTAAGCAACCATTGAAAGAATATGTTTTTCAAAATCGTTTAAATTATCCTTGTACATACTTCAAATTTCACTTATGGAGATAATTTAATTTTGAAAACAGTAGCTCTTAAATTTTGCTCTTCTCTACTGAACTCTGTCACTCTCTTCTATTATGACAGTAAATCTCACACGAACGGTGGCGTCATTAAGAAAATTTAATTTGACTTTAAATCTTTACTTTCAGAGTTCCAACAATTATTAAGTTAATATTAAAAATATTAACAAGATTCATAGTAACTTTGAATAGAAATACAAATGAAATTGACTCTTAATTTATATGAAAATATTCAAATATCCCAAGGATATTTACAAAATGCAACAAGGATATATGCAAAAGCTTTTAATCATATAAGGTTTTCAAAAATATTTTTATTTCTTCGCAATACAAATTTAAAGTATCGAAAAATGATTATAGAAAGCTTCATGATATCGGAAAACAAAACATCATGAAATTATATACGGAACGTGATCGGAGGTCTTAATGGACACATAACGTGTTCAAAATAAAATGAAAAATAACTTTATGAATTTTGTATTTATTTTGCAATCAGAAATACAAACAATTAACAACGTGTTCAGCATTTCTTCGTTGTCTTCTACCTTTTTTTGTATTTCTTCTTGAATTTCTTTGAATTTTTATTTTTTTTCACATTTATTTTCACTTTCATTAAACAACAATTTATATTCGATTTTAAATATTCGATTTGATTTTCTTGATTTGTCAATTTTATATTAGTGCATGTGTTGAAAATATGGCGGATGACTAACAGTCACATTTTTCTAAATGAAAATATTGAAATTTTAAATTTTTCAATTAATTTATTTAAAAATTTTAAAATATTTTTTATTTTTTCCAATTTAGCTAATCATATCAGCATTTCTGCTTGTATCAGCATTAGCAGCCGATGAAAAAACAAAGAAAAAAGCTATACCATTAGAAAAAAAATTAGATAAAAGAGGTCTTCTCAATTTAGGTTATGGTTATGGTATCAACGGTTTAGACGTTGGTTATTTAGGACATAGTGATCATGGTTTACATGGTGGTTTAGTTTTTGAACATGGTGGTGCAGGTTTAGATGGCTTACATGGTTATGGTGTTAGTGCACCAGGTATTTATTTAGGTGAACATACAGATATACAAAAAACAGTTACAGTATTAAAAGGTGTCCCAGTACCATATCCAGTTGAGAAACATATACCATATGCAGTTGAAAGACCAGTACCATATCCAGTTAAAGTGCCAGTACCACAACCCTATGAAGTTGTAAAACATGTACCAGTACATGTTAAAGAATATGTAAAAGTACCAGTACATGTACCACAACCATATCCAGTTGAAAAGAAAATCCCATATCCAGTACATGTGCCAGTTGATCGTCCATACCCAGTTAAAGTACTTGTGCCACAGCCATATCCAGTTGAAAAACATATTCCATATCCAGTTAAAGTACCAGTACCACAACCTTATGCTGTCGAAAGACCAGTACCAGTACCAGTTAAAGTAGCTGTACCTGTACCAGCACCATATCCAGTTGAAAAGAAAGTACCATATCCTGTACATGTACCAGTTGATCGCCCATATCCAGTACATGTTCCAGCACCATATGCTGTTCCAGTAGAAAAACCAGTACCATATGTTGTCGAAAAACCAGTACATTATCCAGTTAAAGTACCTGTTGATCGTCCAGTACCAGTTGCTGTTGAACGACCATATCCAGTACCAGTTAAAGTACCAATTCCTCAACCATATGCTGTTGAAAAACCAGTACCATATGTTGTTGATAGACCAGTAGCAGTACCAGTAAAAGTAGCAATTGATCGCCCATATCCAGTTGCTGTTGAAAAACCAGTTCCAGTTCATGTAGAAACACCAGTTGCTGTACCAGTACCAGTTAAGGTACCATATGTAGTTGATGGTCACCATCATCATAGTCATGCATATGCATCATATAGTGGCTTCGGTCACGGTCATGATTATCATTACCATCATTAAAAATGACAAACATTCGTTTGTTTTTTTTTTAAATATATTATAATTGTTACAACAACAAAAAAGAGTCTCCCATCAAATAATTTGTAATTTATAATTGGCGAAAAAAAATGACAAGAAAATTTAACAAAAAAAAAAAAAAACAATATGCGCACTGACATCTTTAAATATTTACTTATATTTTTTTTCATAAGAAGAATACGAACTAAAATGAAAAAAAACAAAACGAACGTTTTAAAAAATCATGAATTTCGACTTAGGATTATTAGTGAATTTAATAGAATCTCTGGCCGTAGGTTTAAGAATTACATTTTCATTTTTATTTCTTTTATATATTTTATTCATATACGTAACTATATGTATGTGTATATGTAGATCAATTTATAGATTTTCATAAAATTACCACAAAAATGCGTTGACATTTCTGAAGGGATTACAAAATTTTTATATTTATTTCTGCACAATAACAGTTGCTTATTTTATATGAATAGTAAAAAAGGTTTTTCACATCTCAAAATTTTGAAAAACATTTTAAAAAAAAAATTTATTTTTTTCTTCTTTTATTTTATTTCTTCACAGGACTTCAAAGTAGCTGTGGGATATTAAATAAATTTAAAATTAAGTAATTACAAACAAAAAAAATAACAAGAAAACATTGCAGTATTCCGGGATGTGTTACTTTTTTTCTTGAAATAAAGAAAGGCAATTAGAAATTAATATAAATAGAATTAGAAATAATTTAATAAATATTTTGGATCCATCAATTTAAGCAGAAAATTAAGGGGAACGCAATTTTTTTCTACTATATAAAAGATTTGAAAAAAAAAGAGTATAAACATACAATAACATTTTCATTTACGCGTACATTAAGATAATTTGGTGCCCTCTTCATTATTACATGTCACGTCACTGATAAAAAAAAATTACAAGACGGATTGTGTCACATTCTTAGGTAATAAATTATTTTACTCTTTTACAATAGTTCTCAATTTCATATAGATTTACTATTTCCTAATTTAAATTGGAAAATTTATTCTTGAATTCCCCTAAATAATCAATTAAACAGTTTTTCAAAATTTATTTTATGATTTTTGTTATTCACTTCTCTCTTTTATTGTTCAATGTTAGTATAACTTCTCTGTCATTAAAATACGAATTAAGATTAGAAAAGTTGCGGTATTTTTTTGTCTCTCATCATAATTGCTCTGGAGTAAATTTTTCAAATTTAAATTAGAAGACATTTTGCGTATTGTTTTGTAAAATCTTTTAATTTGAAAGAGAGAATCTCAAAAGTGATATTTTCGAATTCTTCTAAATAATTTAGGATAATTTTTTATTTTTTTTAAATATTTACAATTAAAATGAAGTTTTGTTGTAAATTGACCTGTTCAAGAACACTGCCTTTTTTTTCTAATTATAAAAATAGAAAAAATTAAAAATAAAATACTCTTTAAATTTTGTATTTTTTAATTGTTGACACTAGTTTTTTTTTTTAAATTTCTATTTAGCTATATTTCTATAAAAATATTTGTATATAATTGTATTAAATATAATTATTATTAATAAATGTATAAAAAAAAATTAATAATTTTAAGCAATACTTGTTTCTGTAAATAAAAATATTTTTTTAAAAAGAAGAGAAAAATCAAATGAAAATCATAGTTTTTTTTTAACTTTAATTTTGAAATTTGTGGTTTCAAGGTTGAAAAAAAAAATTAGGCATAAAAAATAAAACAAGAATTACGGGAAAATTTATAAATGTATTCCAATTTATAACAAGAAAGGTACGAGATACGGGAAAGATTACAAACTACTGATGAAATTAAAACAGATGCTTAAGTTATCACAATATTTTTAAAATTTACGATGTAGATTTCTTTGAAGTATAGCGACAAAAAGCCTAAATATTGTAATGACATATTTTAAATGAGTTAGAAACATCTATGTACATACTAATATCAGAGGGAAAAAATAAGATGAAAAGCTTTGTTTTTAAAACTTGTAATGAAATGAAAATTGAAAAATAATTTAAGAATATATTTGAGGAATGAAGCAGCATATACTTACACTTGCTTTAAATGGAAATCACCGGAAATATTAAAAAAAACATTAAATATTTGGTCACCTACTTGTGAATATAAAACTTAGGTCTGAATTGCGTATCTCACCTCTTTGATCGTCCAGTGAGAAAAAAGGAGTGAATATATTATGAGATAGTTTTCGAGTGAGAAGAATTTTTTTTCACATTTTATATTGATTTTCTAAAATTTATGCAAAAATTGAAAATTTACTTGATAAAAATAACGCTTAAAAGCAATTTTGTAAATCCAATTAAAAAAGTAAGTAATCTAATTGTAAATATGACATATAAATTAGATAAAATGACAGTTTTACTATGAAAGTGAATAAAAATCGAGATACATGACTCATACTGTTCAAATTTCGATGCTTCGTGTACTAGCTTATATAAGTATTTAATTAATATTGATACAAGTAAACATATATGTACTTATAAATCTAATGTTTCGAAATTGGAAACAACCATTAATAAATTTATCTCCCAAAATAATTTTATAACATACTGGAAACTGAGAAACTTATCAAAATTTTATTAAAAATTCTTCATTTCACGCAAACGTGTGTCATTTGCTGATTTTTTTTTCATTACAGTTTTAAATGTTCTACATGAATTGACAAGAGATTCAAACAACAGATTACTAATAAACAAAACTACTCAGAGATATGGAGAAAAGCATAATTGCCAAATAGAAATAGTATACATACTATTAATAGTAGTAACGGATAATTCGAATTCGGCTCCATAACATGCTTCAATTTTTTCACAAACATTATTTCTTTTCTTATTAGATTACCTTTATTCTCCCAAAAACGCATTCAATTTAGGCGCACAAACTAGTACATAATATATATTCATTTCTACAAATTAAAATTGTATTATTATAGTGTTACCATATTGTTTTGATTCGATACATTTTTTAAGAGATTTTAAATTTTGCGAGATATCTACAAAAATTTTATTTATCAACATTTACAAACTTACAAAAACCTTCAAAATATTTCTCCTATAAAATTGAAATCTGAGCTGAAAATTAGTAATTATTTAAATTTAATCGAAATTTTTATTTTTGCAAACTTTTGATCATGAAAAACAAAAAAACTTTGGAAATCCATGAAATCAAATTATTCTATTAATCACATTAAAATAATTTCATGTCATTTTGAAATATTCAAAAAAAAAAATTTAATCTAGTTTAATATTACAAAAACACTTAATAACAATAATGAATAAATCAATAAAAATAATGTAGATTTCCTTGTAACAATTTACTAGTTTATTATATGTTTTTTTTATATTCTGAAAATTATAAAAACAAAAATTTTTTTTATAATATAAAGAGGTTAAGATACATATGTACATACTAACGTTTAATAGCCTAATTCTTCTTTATTTCCTCAAATATTCCCTAAAAATTCTAATAAAATTAGAAACTGTAATAAAAATTAAGAAATTAAAATGACAAAACCAGATGTGTGAGGGAAATTGTATTGTCAGTGATGCTGTTTATTAACGTTAAGAAAGTAAATTTTTTTCCTCTCTTGATTTATTATTCTGCTCTTAGTTCTTAAAATTTTTTGATCGGTTGCTAGTACCTAGTATTTACACTTCGAGTCGTTGCATTCTGTTACTTATTTGTTGTTTAAAACCTTATAATAAGCAAAACAGCAGCAGTAGTAGAACAAGACAAAATAACGTCATTGAACGAAGTCATAGTGAAAATATTTCAAAATTTTTCTTGAGAGAGAAAATCATTAGGTATTACATTAGGATTTTGTAAATTGTAGATTTCTAAAGGAATCGAGTGGGGCAGGATACTATCTACAATCTACAAGGATTTTGTTAAAACATAGTTCGGTAGCACACATTTAATAAATCAAAACCGTCCGGACAAAAGTTGTTAAGTCATTTTTTCCTTAAAAATTGTTTTTATCCCTAAATTCATGATTATATCTTACCCGAACTATTGTTATTAACACTTACAATAATTTGTATAAAGCATTTTTATAAAAGCAAATGGTTCATATCATTTTATATCTCATAACATTCACTTTCCTAAAAACTTCTTCAAAATTACTTTTGTCAAATGAAAATTTTGTTTTTGACAAAATATTTCTTTCAATAATCGTATGTCGGCTTTGTGCATGGTGGCAAAAATTCTTCCAAGATGTACAAAAGTGAGAAAGATTCGACAGGTCTTCCTGTGTCTGAGTTTAAAATTCTGCCTTTTTAAGAGCTCTTGACCCTTCAAGTTTTAGATTCATAATAAGGCTTGCTTGTAAATCAAAATCCCTTTATATAATTTCTGTGCGTTTCCTAGAACGTTAATTACTTTAGTTTTCTTTCCTTAAGTATTTTATTATGAAACTATTATACGAACAATGCTCGAAATTATCATATAAGATCAAAAGTTTTGATAAAATGTGGACAATATGAAATAATAAAGCATAATTGCAATAATAACTCTATTCTCTATCGAGAACTGAATTGCAAAATCAAAGAAAAAAAAATACTTCCGATAGATCTAATTCAAAATTTTTTATAGGCATAATATGCAAAAAAAACAAAATTGCTGACCTTTAACTTTATGATACTTTGCTTTTCACTTGACGTTCGCTACAAAATTTCGCTTTAATTTTTTTTTTAAATGTGATTTTTTGTACTTCATTTTCGTTTTGTACCTTACCTGTACAACAATACATCAATTTCTCATGTGCCTAACCTAATTAAAAGCCCAGAAGCAAAACGAAACGATTAAATCATAATTAAAATATTTAAGACAACAGGTATAACAAATTATGTTAATCTTCAATAGCATAACCAATAATGAATGCGATAATCATCATAAATCTCTTGAAATTTTCAGCTTCTGAATATTTTACTTAAAAAAAAGGTACAAAACAAAAACAAATAATACTGATTTTTTTTTTAGTTATGTGTGATTCTCATAAACCTTATAATTATGAATCGAATTAAAAAATCAAGAAAAAAAAATATCTGATAAAAACTTTGATATAAAATCATTTTGAAATAAAACTCACCTGGCAGGCTTAAATTTAATAAATAAATAAACATGAAAATAATTCTAGGTTTTTATATTCAATAATCGATCAAATTGATTGTATCGAATAGTTTAAAATTGGTGCTTTCATGAACACAAGATTTTTTAATTATTTGTTTTTGTAATAGCAAAATGCCCATCAGGTATATTTGATTTACAGTATAATAGTTTCTGGTAAATTATTATTAAAAATAATTAAAGTATTTTAGAAGTCACAGGTGATGTTGTACTCAAGTGTTATGATGGCAAAACTAAATACATAATTGAATATAGTGCTTGCATGTAAGAACGACAATGGTAAGCTAACTATAACCTTAAAATATAAGAAACAATACAGATATAAATCAAGTATATGCTATAAAATATTACTATTTGAGATTTTCAGCATCTGTACATTGAGTTCCTCTATTTAATAAACAATTTTAACACCTTTGCACATTATTCTACCTTCTCTTGGACTCATAAATCTCAAAGAATATTGAAAAAAAGTGTTTGCTTGAAAGAGATTTTATTAGTTAAATGAAGATCAAAATTATCTTTATAGGATAAAATTAAACCGATGCCGAAATTTTGACGCCCTGCTTAATATTATGCTCTTTGAGGAATAGAAAATCATAATTGCAAATAATAAGTTTCTTACAACAACATTAAATTGCTATTCATACAACAAATACCC